TCATTGGTCCTCTTCTGCCCAGAGTCTCCTCGTTGGTTAGTTAGTAAGGGTAGAGATGCCGAGGCACTCCGTACCTTGGCTTACTACCATGCCGATGGTGACGAGTACGTATTTTCTGCACTCTTATGGGATATGAACCTCAAGTCCGGAGAAGGCAAGATCCCCTCATTCAGCACGAATTCCGTGAAATTAAGGCTGCCATCGAATTTGATCGTAGCGGTATGTTGTAAGTGGTCGCCGAGTTCCAATATGCAGACATGGGTTTACTGCAGTTGCTGCCAACGTCGGTTGGAGGTCTCTCATTGTCACCCGGGGAAATCTCAAGCGCATGCGAATCATTGTCGCTCTCGCTTTCTTTTCAACGTGGTCTGAGAACGGTCTCATTTCGTACTACCTGAACGAGGTCTTCACTCAAATTGGCATCACAGGCTCTAGCACTCAGTTGCTCATCAACGGTGTCCTGCAAATTTGGAATCTGTTCTGGGCTATCCTTGCTGCCTTCATGGTTGATAGACTCGGGCGTCGATTCCTTTTCTTGTCCTCTGTCGCTTTGATGACCTTGTTCTACACCGCGCAAGCCGTTTGCTTCGCGGAATATGCCAAGCACGGAGTGGCCCCCGCCGGCCATGCCGTCGTTGGCTTTGTCTTCCTGTTCTTCGCAGCCTATGACATTGCGTTTACTCCCCTCATTATCTCATACACAATCGAAATTCTTCCATTCTCTTTGCGCGCGAAGGGTTTCATTGTCTTCAGTTTCGTCATTTCTGTGGCCCTCACCTTCAACCAGTATGTCAACCCCATCGCCCTTGATGCTCTTGGGTGGAAGTACTATGTAAGTTGTCAACCCTTTCTTCGTTTCTCCAAGTCAATCTCCCTTAAAGCTCGTTTATCATCAGTAAATCACTTTGAGCTGTGGAGCTCTCCACAGTGCTCCATAATACACAGAGTCCCCTAGCTAGGTCCAGGCTGGACAGATGCACCCAACAACACTTTTTGCTATGGCTAGTTGCCTGTTACTATGGAATGGTCACATTGTCATGGAACTTTGTCCAGTATCTTACTTACTATGGATTGCTATGGAACTTTCATGCTTAGATATCACTGTACAAAACTGGCCAGACTGTATTCTCCTTGGGGTGTTGTCCAGTACTCCCCATCTCAATGTTTACTTTGCAAACATGTGATCACTCCACAACTAGGAATAGTTCACAGCAGGTATGACAGGAACAGGAGCATTGGCATCAATTGCATACTATGTGTAATGACAGGTACAACAGGACTAGGTATTATGAAATCAATCAAGGACTGCCTGAATGTGCTGGTACCTCTCTACATTCAAATCAACCTCTTGCAGTGCAGCCCTGATACAAGGAGTCGGCATGAGCATGTTGGCTGCCCCAGTACTTACCATCCTTCCTTTGCCCACTGAGAAAACTGATTGCACAACCTTGCACAGTGATAGGGATTATGAAGGATATTGTTTAGCACCTTCATCATGCCATGGAAAATGGAATTGTAAGCCTTGCTGGAGAATTGAGGCATCATCTTTCCTGTGCTGTTCTTCACAAATCCATCCAACACACAATGATACTGCAAGAAAAGTTTGAGTTGCAGCAACTTGGGGTGTAAAATAACTCACTGTGGCTGTGACAAGAGCCAGACAGGAAAGGGGAACTGAATTGTTGAAGGACTCAGGATGCTTATCCATGATTTGATAGGTCCCAGTATAGTAAAATTGTATGACAGCTTCCTTGAGGGCAGGGTGAGCGAAATTCCTGGTTTTTCCCTGATAAACCAATCTGTTAGTAGTGCAGACAACGAACTGTGTGAATGTACATTCTTGTCAAAACTGTCTCACAGGAAAAGTGAGTTGTCAAGGAGCTTTGCAGCCAGGTAGACCCCATGTAGTCCATTTAGTCACAACATATAGGTAGCCTGCATGCCAAAATGCCAACACTTATATAGACCCTGCAATGGGCCCATCTAAATAGATTAGCCATGACACATGGACAGGCCTGAGGGCCTATAGTGAGAGCAACATATGTATGGGCTCATAAATGCAATTCCACAACATATGGGAGGGCCTGTGGAGGGTAAGGATGCTGCAACATATAGATGGGCCCATGACCAAGTAAGTATGCTAAGCTACTGTAAGACATGGACGGGCCTGCCTATTGTATCATGAAGAAGGTCACAACATATGGATGGGCCTGCCCATCATATGCTTTATATGGTCACAACATAAAGAGGGGTCCATCTATGATAGATTACAGAGTTGGCAACATATGGATGGGCCTGCCCATCATATGCTTTATATGGTCACAACATAAAGAGGGGCCCATCTATGATAGATTACAGAGTTGGCAACATATGGATGGGCCCAGGAGTAATATCATTTATGGTGTCGCAACATCTAGACAGGCCCATCCATAGCAAGATGTACACCTGTCACAACATAAGGATGGGCCCATCAGTAATATCATTGACAGCATCACATCACATAGATGGGCCCATCTAGTAAGATGCATCCCTGCCACAACATAAAGATGGGCCCATCAGTAATATCATTTACAGTGTCACAACACATAGACAGGCCCATCTAGTAAGATGCACCCACATCACAACATAAAGACAGGCCTTTTAGCAATATCAATTACACAGTCACAACACATGGATGGGCCCATCAATAGCAACATGTATGCCTGTTGCAACATAAAGACAGGCCTGTCAGTAATATCATTTGCAGCATCACAGCACATAGATGGGCCTGTCCAGTAAGATGCACCCCTGTCACAACATAAAGATGGGCCCATCAGTAATATCATTTATAGCATCACAACATATGGAAGGGCCCTTCAGCAGTATCATTTATGTGGTCACAACATAATGATGGGCCCTTCAGCAGTATTATTTATATGGTCATAACATATGGACAGGCCCTTCAGTAATATCTTTTATATTGCCATAAAACAAGGACAGGTCTGTTGAGTAAGATCCACCCCTGTCGCAACATAAGATGGGCCCAACACCAATAGCACATATAGCATCACAACATATTGATTGGATCACAGCAAAATATTGAGGCAAGCATCCTGACATGCTGTAACTTTCCAACAAGCTGCAAGTGGTGTCACACACTAAAGGTGTTTGGTGAGGTGGACATGGATGTAGCTGATGAATGGAGGTGAAGACCATAGCCCTCATGCGAAGAAGGACAGCCAGAAATGTCGGCAGTCATCCCTTGCACAAGAACAGGTTGTCAATGCCAAAGAAAAAGGAGGCAAGTTAAGTGCCAATAAAATTCTTAAGCGCCCATGTACGGCATTCCAGTTTTTGACATATCTCCACCAATTCTGCAGACACCAAAACCATTCCCACACTCGCTTGTAGTGCTCAGCCACACGATCCTACCTTCCAAGATTGGAAAGGATTTGCGCACTCCACACATTTCTACAGCACTCCCTCCAAAAGATGCTCATTTCGCTAATTCTTCTGATATGGCTGCCTCCACATCAGTCATTTCACTTGTCCCCTTTGCTAGGGACCATGGCTACATATATCTACCAGGAGTTCCTACCAGCTTCTGTCCTGAAGTGTCCTGGTACATCCCACCCTCATCTGCCCCCTCTCAGCCCATCCAGCTTGGACAGCATGTTCTTTTTGTCAGTATGACCTCCAGGAGGACGTTCTTTGGTTGCCTCAGGTCTGTCATTCACTTGGAAAGGTCTTATGTGGTCGTTTCAGTCTCTCCAGTCCAAGAAGCATATGGATCCTTCCTCCCTGCCCCCTGCAACATCTTCATACCAGTCTCGTCCATCATTCTTCCAAAATTGTGACAGCTACAGTATAATCTACTGTTCTCCACTCTCCCTGATTGCATCCATGACGAGTATGATGCACATCTTGCCTCCTTGTTGCAAGATACAGCAGAAGACACTCCCCCTTCATCCTCTCTTCCAACAGAGCCTCATTCATGAAGTTTTTATTTGCTTCACTGAGAGGATGGTTTGGGGGGGAAGGTTGCAATCCCCTATGCTCCTGTCACCCCACAGACCCCCAAAGCTTGACCCCTGTTGACATCTGACTCACCCTGTCCGCTTTTGGATGTACTATATTGGCATCAGATCAGCACTGCCTCTCTGTCATCCCACTTTGGCCTAGAAGCGATCTCTTCGAGATGTGACATGCACAGCCTCCCCCTGATGTGATTCCAGTGCACTTTCCCAGTTCCTGACATTGCTTGACTCATACTGTGACATTCTGACTGTCTTTGACTCACCTATTGCCAATACTTACCAATCTTTTGACTTTGCTTACTGATTCTTTGCTTTTTGGCTTACTTATCCTTACCAATGCTTACCAATGCTTTCCAAGATGATTACCCATCGCTTACATTCCTTACTCATCAGTTACCAATCACTTACCAAGTGTTTGCACCTTGTTTTCCATAGGCAATGCCCCTGTACTGTATATAAGTCACTGTACTTAGGTAGCAAAAAAAAAAAGAAGACATCAGAGAGCCCCTCTTGCTCACAATTTATCATCTCTCAGTAAACCATTCATCAGCTTCGATAGTTGAGACTTTATTAAGGGTCTAGCTATCATCTACTTCGCTTATCATCATCTATCATCCATATACTTCGCTCCAAGCCCTCCCTGAGCTCAGTACAGCTTAGGACATTGAATAAAGTCACCATCCATCCTTCTGTAGGCTGACAGCAGTCTACCCTATCGCTTTCTATCACATTCTTGCTCCCTCTTTGTCAGAAGCACCCCCAACCCTCAGCACTCATCTTTGAGTGTTGTAGCTCGCAAAAACCCTCCCAAAGAACAGGTTCTACCATCTAGGTACCGCATAGGCACACCACCACTCGCTTTCATTGTCTTTTGTGTTGGTTTTGGTTGGTTTTCACCACTGAACCTCACTTTGACTCACAGCAGCTCACCCACTATACAACTCTGACCTCATCCACTCCAAGCATGAATACTATGCAAGACATGTCTAAAACCCCCCACAGATGGTGAATGGAACTAACAGACTGCATTGTGTCATACATGAAAGCCAGATTTCAAGAGGAGGTATTCAGCAGACCTTGTGCCCTTCCAGATATATTGATTCCATTTCCAGTGTTATGTGAAGTGGATCACATATTGTCAGTAATCTCACAGGCCTATTGTCACCCAAGTAAGTCCATCATAATGGTGCAATGGAAGTTTTCATCTTTCCGCAGTCAATGTCAGGAAAAATTGGGGTGGAAAAACCTGCAATGCAGAAGCTGCTGAGAGATACATGGAAGTGACTGAGCCATCCATTCTGGTGACCAACTCAAACACCATCTGCATTTGGTATTTGCTGGATGCTCTCAGCCCAAAAAGAAGGGTAAGGGAATGCAGAATCTCATATTCTACTGACTTAATGCAATGGCAGGCCAATGTATGGAACTGCCTTCATCTTCTGAGGGAACCACTACAGGAGAGCATAAAGGCTTCCCCACAGGCATGGCAGATGGACAAGTCATATTTCTGTGATAATGCTGAGTTGAAAGGCACCATCAACCTGTCACCTGCATGGTTTCAACAGGGTCATGGGGTGGGTGATCATTTCTTTCCTTGTGAATAAAGTGCTCATCTGTCTTGAAGCCCCAAAATGGCTTCCCAGAAGCCTCATGGCTGCTCAAATCCAGGATGGAAAACACTTCTACAAGGGAATGGGTCAACCAAATGTCCAACACCAATGCCCTGTTATCTGCAATCCTGCATGTCATCCATCCATGAATGTATGCAGATGGCAGGGAAGCATTGATCCACCTTGGCAAACAGGCAGAACAGCAGGCAGATTCAGATATGAGCTCCATACTGCTGATATGGAGCTCCATGTATAGCAGCATGTCCATGATGGTGAATCAGGCAACTTGTTACCACAGGGATATCAATGGACAGGATCCATGGTATGACATGCTGGTAACTGTGGGCAACTACCTGCCCTTGGACTTTGTCATTCCAATGTTGAATCTGTGGCTGTGCTACAACCCAGGGATGATCATTGCATTTTCAGGTTCAGCACTGGAGCATGGGGTGGGAGCTGTAGATGGTGACAGAGCATGCCTGGTGTACTACATGCATGCCAATGTACATCAGTTGGTGCATGTTCCCATGTGTCAATCACCATGGATGGATGGCCTACTACCTAGACCAGTTGCAACTGGACAACTGTTGATTTGAAGCTGCAAAATTTAATGTAAGATTTAGTAGGCAATGTGGATCTTGTATTTTATTAGGATATGCTGGTTCTTGAACTTTGGATGAGTGGTGTTGCCAAGATTTTGCAAATGGGCAGGTGCTTCAACATCATAGATTGGGCAGGTACTCAGAGCTAAAGGGTGTGCATCATAAACTGCAAAAAAAATAAACCTGCTCAGGCCATCATGCAGATGGGTGGGGGTTCAGACATCATGCGAATGGGTGGCATCTCATAAATGATTGACATTTACAGCAATGTATATTCAACCAACTCCACAGTCAAAAACATGTAAACTATTGAAGCAGCATGCCCAACAACCTGTGCAATGCCCACTACCTAGCATAGAAATGGTCAATTTGTTGACCCTGACTGTTGACAACCTCAGCATATTTCTGAATATTTTCAATGCAGTAGTTTACCTGCTCCTCAATATGGCCATTGAGATGGTCTGCAATTGGAACCTCAGG